GGAAAAATTCAACGTTTTGGAGGGTAGTCTTACCACACCACCCTCAGTTACACAAATATTTGTTAGGGTGTGATGTCTGAGGTGCGTGACAAATAGAGATCAGGCTAATAAAAAAAACTAAGTCCTTCAGATAAATATAAAAAATGCGAACGCAGATATCACGTGACAATGTGACGCTAAATGTCACTGTGTAACTGAGGGTGGTGTGGTAAGATTTTCCCATTTTGGATTACACAAGAATCCAAAAAAGGAATTTTATTTGCTGATCACTTAATTCCGGCTGAAGCTATAACTTCTATTACTTCAAGTTTGGGAAAACACAAAAATCCAAAAAAGGATATTAATTTGCCGAACTCTTAATTCTGGCCGAAGCTATAGATTATCACAAAAATTGAGGCTCAGGCTACGCAAAAATACAAAAAAGGAAATTATTATAACAATCACTTAACTTTGGCCGGAATTACCATATTAGTATAAATACAATCATAATTTGTTAAAATTGTATAGTAATTTTTTATCATTAAATAACTAATATTGATAATCTTTTTTTTAAAACCTTTTTAAATGCATTTGAAACACCTAACTACTTTTTTCTAAAAAGTTTTTAAATTTATTTAAAACTTCTAAACTTCTAACCAAATTTTTTTTAAAAGGTTTTAAAATTTAATTATAATATTATAATATATAATATGAATATGAATTATGAAGTTTTTAAAGAATGTCAAAGAATACTTAATGCAATATTTTTGTAATTAAATTAAAAGCATTCAGGTAAAAAGGAAAATGTACCTATAACATGACTAACTAAAAGAACAAAAGGATGAAGTTGGTAATAAAATTGATTAATTAGCACAAATTTCTAAAACATGTACAGTCAACTCTCTTTATAGTCACACATTTGGGACAGTCCATATTTGGTGATTATAAAGAGATGTGACTATATAAAAAATTTCTTATATTAGTATATCATAATTCCGGCCAAAAATTAACATAATTTTGGGCAAAATTATACTTAAAACTTTATTGTATCATAACTCCGCCAATATTAATTGTAGAGAAATGATCTTACCGCCATTCGATTCGTCTCGATGAGACGGTTCTAATGGTATAAAATACATCGAAATCCAATCACTAGATTAATTTCCAAAATTAAAAAAATATTAATGGTTTTTGTGTAATAACTCTGCCAATATTGATCCTAG